TCCCATCCGTTATATCAAGACACTGAATGTACTCAACAAATCTTAATAAAACATTTGAGTAGATACTATTATCAATTGTATTTTCATACAACTCTCAGATCATTAAGCTGACAACTCTTTGTCTTCACACATCTTATGTGTTAGCTTACACATGCCTCTAAAATTTATATCTTTGAGTGTACTCAACAAAAGATAAATTTTAGTTAAGTCAAACTCATCATTCAAAAATATCAAATATTTTATAGTGTCAAACATATCCCTAATAGACCAGTCTTGAGTATACTCAACAAGCGGAGACGATTTGAGACTCTGACTTTTCACTATAATGATGGAAAACGATTATAAATGTGACTTAATATTTTATGGAGGAATTTTGCATTCAAATGTCTCATCGTAACAATTATATATATTTTATTATACATCTACCATGCAAATATATATATATATTATGTAAAGTAATAGTGTGGAGGATTATGGACTTTACTATCTAGTCTTCCCAAGCCATAAGGAAGACTAGTTGGTTAATTCCTAGGGATATCGCATTGATCAGTATCAATGTACCATCTTTATGATTTCCTCCTCTTCGTATGTCTTCAATTAGTCTAGCTGCAGCCTGTATCCTATACTAGTTGGCACGCAGGCTTAGATAAAATTAGACTCGCAGACCCATAGCAACAATAACAATAACGGATTCACAGGTCTAAAATGATTAAGAGTTAGTAGACCCACAATAATAACAATAATAACGAGCTCGTTGGCCCAAAACATGACAAGAATAAAATTAACCATTAACACATCTATATGATCGAATCCATAATCATCCGCTAATAATACATTTATTACATAAATGTATTCTTATATAATATCTAATATTATATGCAAACATGTTTCAAGTTTCTAGCAATTAAAATTGTCTAAACTCTTTTAGATAAATGGATCGGAACCATTAAATAATTAATTAATCATATTGATTAATTAATTTAATTAGTTGGCATATATAACTAAAATTAAATTTTAATTAAATACCGAATTAGAGTCCAACTCTAATTCCACAATAATAGGGCGGGACTATTTAATTAAAATCAAATTTCAATTAAATATCAAATTAGAGTCCAACACTAATTTCATAACTTAAGACGATTGAATTCAATTAAAATCAAATTTTAATTAAATAACAAAATTAGAGTCTGAATTCAATTAAAATCAAATTTTAATTAAATAACAAAATTAGAGTCTAACTCTAATTCCAATATTTAGGGCGAATTAATTTCATTGAAATCAGAATTTTAATTAAATACCAAATTAGAGTCCAACTCCAAAAATTGGAACAAATTTTAGGGCGGGACAATTTAATTAAAATCAAATTTTAATTAAATGTCAAATTAGAATCCCATTCTAATTTCTAGAATATATTCAGGTGAATAATTAATTAAAATCAAATTTTAATTAAGTATTAAATTAGAGTCAAACTCTAATTTAAATTGAATTAATATTTTAATCTAGGATAACATTCCTAAATAAAATAAAATTCAATTTGGGGTTCAAAGTTTAATATTTAAGTTAAAATCTAATTTTAACGAAATATAAAAGTCGTCAATTTTAAATAAAAGTTTAATTCTGGGTCAAACTTAAAATTATGGGTAACCCATTAGGAATTCAAATTTAAAACCATTTAAAAATTCAAATTTAAACACTTTCAAAATTTGCAAATTGACCCAGGTTGAAAATTAAAAGCAAGCCCTTCCAATTTATGAAATTGCATGGCAGCCCTCCATTTAAAATTTACCTATTGACCCCTAATTTTAATTGCAAGCAGGGTGCTCGTAATTTCACAAATTGCACAACAACCACCTGTCTCCAACTCTCCCTCACCCGTTTTGAAGGAAACCCAAAAATTAAAATTCCCCAAATTAAAACCCTAGAATTCCACCCCTTATTCTTCTTCTTGTTTTCAGGGGCGCCGCTTGCCCTTTTCAGGCATGAAGCCGGCGACTTCCGGTTGTAGCAGCGCTGCCTGCTGCTGTGTTACAGCAGCTCCAGGCCGGCGCTGCCATACTCACTGCAGTTGATGCTACTGTTGTCGCCGCACAAAGTCGCCAGGTAGCGCCAAGGATAGCTCCTGTTGCTGCCCGATTTTTAGATACATTATCATTTTTTTTTCGAAGTCAGATTTCAATAAAAAGAAATTTTGAGAGTCATTAATTGCTAGAAACTAGAAAAAATGCAACAATCAACTTTTGATTGCTCAAAACGTGGTAAACAATTTCCAACAAACACAAACCTGGCTCTGATACCACCGTAGGTAATCTACTTAATATGCGCAGCGGAAATTAAAATAATTTTCGATTTCCACCATGATTCATCTTTATGTTTAGATAGAAATTGTGATAAAAGTCATACATTTTTCTAGATCTGCAAACCCCTTTGCTTTTTATTTGTACCAATGATCTTGATTTACTACCCATAGCTGTCCAATTATCCAACCTCGAACGGTGATCCACACAGAAAACAGATTGCAGTTACCAGGGTTTGCTCCTCTTACGCTAGCAAGAAATTATGAGAAAATTATGTGGATTGAAAACCCTAGCCATGTATTTATATAAGTCCAAACGGGCTTGACCTAGTCCGGTCCAATATTTAATTAATCAATTTAATTAAATTCGGTTCGTGAATTAATTAATTCAATTAATTAATTTGGACCTATAAATAACCAACCTAATCAATTAATTTATCCAACGATTGTTAAATTAATTAATTGATAAATTGAAATCTTTCAATTCTCTTTTGTATGCAACACATCAAGTTCCCGATCACGATACCTAATGACGTGAAATATTATTTTGGTCTAACTAAAATTGATAAATTAAAACACCCTTTTAATTTATCACCAATTACACTCGCCGTCTTAGATTGACATCTAGCAATGTGTCAGGGCAATACATGTAATGGGAAATGTCATGTGGTATGACAAAATCAAACTCATCTATTTACCGTAAAACTAAAATTCCTTCGTCAATATGATTCGATCAATTACGAGATATGAAAATATGTCAATCTCGATTATCGATCATATCTTTCACTATACTATTAAGTCAATATAAGTCGAACACTCCTTTTCAACTTATGAGTACACCTTGGCAAGGATTTCGTTATCGACTTAATTGAATAAAACGTATATCATAATCTCTTACTATCTAAGAGTAACGAATTCTCTATTGGTCAACCACAACCTCCATATGATTCTTGACATACCCGAACGACGCCGTATTAGTGGCTCTTGACAGAGCAACATCTAATATCATCAAAGCACGACCGTCCTCATATAAGGTACTATGACGACCTCAAGTCAAAAGGATCAATCTCACTACCGAACGTTAGAGATTAACTACTGACACTCAGATAGTTATCCGTGTGGAACCTTTCGACGGGTCTCCAATGTTTTATTTTATGCCAAAACATCCACGTGTTCATTTAAGTGTCACCACATTTTAGCTTGTGAGATCGGCTACTTATTTTACAAGTAAAAAATGTCATACGTGATGGTTTATCTGTAATAACGATATTCGTATCTCGTTATTACTTACGACCACAGACGATTTAAGATTCAATCATATGTAATTTGTATCTCACAATCACAACTCCTTGTGATTAACAAATTACGAAGATTTGAATATACGGACTTTATTATTTAATTTAATTGTTTATTAATTAAATAATAGATCTGCTATTAAATTGCATTAATTATATATCAAAAGTATTTATGTCTAAAGTCGATTGGACCTAGGGCATAACACTTATAAATAATTCCCAGTAAAATAAGTTATAGGCAATTGAATTATCCGAAATTCGTTTTCTTTCTATCCAAATTTTATTCTTGCAATCAAACAGACCCTAAGAGAATGATTTATATGAAATGTTAAGGAACAAAGCTATGATTCCAGGGTAAACGATCGGCTAAGGTGAGTAACAATTCCACTTAAGGGTGTCAATTTGATTTGTCGGGTCGAGTTACTCGTAGCTTGGCCCAAAAAAAGCTCGAGCCAGGCTGTGTGGCTCGACAAGCCACACGAGTCAAGCTTTTGCAGGCAACTACTGTGTGTTTTATAAAAATAAAAATAAAAAATACATTAGTCAGTCCAGCTCGATAAGGCCAGAACCAAAATCTTGGGTTGAGCAAAAGCTCGACTTAGCTCGGGCAAAAAAAAGTTCAAGCCATTTTTACTCAAACTAAGCTCGAGTCTCAAATTTCGACTCATCGACATCTCTAATTCCACCAAAATGTAATTAATTATATGACTCTTTGTGAACGTCGTAATATTCTTCTGAAATATTCATAATTTCGTGGAGTAGTATACCATTTTAATGATTTTTGGTATTTAAGCTTGTGCTTTATTGGAGTAACAATTAAATATTCTTTAAGAATATTGATAGAATATAAGGCATTTATTCTTCAGGAGAAACGACACAATACATATTTTGAATTTATTGACAATTAATTTTCATATTATCTAAATTACCATAATGATGTACTCATAGAGTTTCATTGAGAATTGCAATTTGAATAGATTACACTATTAAAATAAGTAAAACCCATCTAAATATTTTTATAAAATGAAATAATTATCTATAACTTTACATCATCAATACTTGAATACACACACATTTGGGGACCATATGGTATGAAGAAGAGAGAAAAAGCAAGAATAATATTTTGACAAGAATTAAAAAAAAAAATCTAAAAAAAGTGCACCAATCGTAACTATGGACGATCCACGGTTTTGAGACCCGCGTATTCGAATAATTGACTTCGGTGTAACAACAAATCTATAGTCTACCTATTCTACAGAGTCCATATTTGGCTAAGCTTAAAAATATTACTTATAAGTATTAATAAGTACCAACAAAAGTTGAGAATACAGGATTACTTTTACGCAATACTGAGTAACTTTTAGCTTTGCCAAACGTGTCGTTGATGAAGAACACCAGGTCCAATTCATATTCAATTCTTCATCACCAATTATAAATGCGCCATAATCTGTAAAGAAGATAAGGAGTTGGTCGAGTCGTCCTCTTTGTTCTTTTTACTTCCGTACGTAATATATATCCCTATAAATTCGTAAAATTGAAAAAGAAAATAATAGGAAAAATCTTGATTCCCATCAACGTTTCAGATTGAATCAGAAAGGTATTTTCTTCATATTTATTTGTTTATGTACACGTAGCGTATATGTATGTATGATTTCTTTTCTGGGCGTTGATTATAGGGTACTAATCTTGGGAGTTGGCTGGGTGCAAGATGATTCTGCTTGGACGAATTTAAGATTCCAATTATTTAATTTTGGGTGTGTGTCTATATATATATATATATAGAATTCTTGATTGCAGCCCTAAATATGCCGAATGGAGAAGTTTGATTAATTTCATTTTCTTAAGTTGGATTCTCATATAGTGTGTCAATTTTCTTACATTTATCAAGATTGAATTGTGCTCAAGAAATGCATCCTCATTGTTGAACACATGAGAGAATCTTCCAAATATGATGGACACTGTTCATAATTTCAGAATGCCAGGCCTAGGTGGAAAATTACGTTATTGACTTTTGGATTGGTTTTGTACATTATTTTTTTTTTTTGCTATTGCTCACTTGATCTTGAAACCAGAATCAAATTCTTATGAATCATTATACCACATTTATTTATTACTATATGAAAATCACGTGCAATATACACCTGATTTAGTTTTAGATTACCAGTAGCACTGAAAATATCACCTCTTTCTTGTGTCCACATCTTTGTGCATTTATTGATGCTGCTTAACCTTTGTGCCAAAGCAGGGACATTTGCTCCTATCACTTGGAATTCAGTTGAAAAGATTATCACCAAGCTATAACTAAGCTCTAAGCAGACTGTGTTTAGCTGATGACTCTGCAACTAGATAAGGTTAGGTAGAAACATTGGGATTCTGTGCCGTTGCTGCAACCAGATCCTTTAAATCCTCTTTTAATTATCTGGTTGCATAATAATCTGACTGCACACATATGTTGAAGATGGGTTTAAGATTTAAACAGGTCCTGCTCCTTTTTCTCTTTATAGCAATATTTAATGATGATGTTAAAGCAGAACAGGGAAAAGAGACTTTACAAAAGTTAAGAACTGCTCCCCGAAGGAATGCCGGGAATGGTGTGATAGATGGGTCAGGTATAGAACATATTTTGAGTTCTGATGGGACTAGTAATGAAATGGGCGATGAGCGGAAGGGAGAGAACAATAGAGTTTCAGTGTCGACTGTTGCATTTTTCACGCTGGCGATGGCTGCAGCTACTGGTTTAGGTGCCTTACCATTCTTCTTTGTGGAGCTAGATTCTCAATGGGCTGGTATATGCAATGGGATGGCTGCAGGGGTAATGTTGGCAGCCAGCTTTGACCTTATACAGGAAGGACAGAGCCATGGTAGTGGTAGTTGGGTTGTGTTCGGTATTTTGGCGGGTGGCATTTTCATTTGGCTTTGTAAGAAGGTGAAGCTCTTATACGTTCAAGTTATCTACATTGAAATTCAGTTGCTAATTGCTAGTTAGTATTTGCATTTGCATTTGCTTTTTACAAAGTAACATCTTATACTCAAATTATGATGTCGTTTCTTGCTATTGTTTTTCTTTTGATATGCTAATTTCTACTATATCTGCCTGCATGCTTTGTTGTTGCTATTTTACTGTATTTTTTAAATTTCTAATTTGAGACTATCAAACTAAAGTAATCATAACTCTGTTGAAATGGATATATGTTTCACTATATGTAGTGCAATCTAATAGGTCACAGTTGTTTTCTTGGGTCTCCTTCAAACTTGAATTGGCAGAGATGTGGAAATTGTTTCACTGGCTGAACAGGAATAAGTGTTCCATTGATTCTATAAGCATATTCCGTTAACTGTTTAATTTGGTTAAGTAGCTTTAGTTTTAAAACATAATTTGTTAGTCAATGTTTCTTTTGACCAAAAAAATTCAATAGATTCAATTATAATGTCGTAAGTGGAATTCAATTACAAAAAACCAAAATTTTCTAACTACTCAATGGACTTATCATTGAACTTTGGACCATTATAGTTCTTCACTATCTGTGGATTTATAGGTAAAGGGTGGGGTTTGGAATGTGTTTGGTAAATCCAGTAAAAGTATGGGATCATTGAAAAATATTCGTTTTTATTGAGGAATACACTTTAACTTGAACTATATTGATTCGAAATTAAAGTTGAATGTAACCAAATCAAATGAATAAAGTGGTATTCATTATTTTTTTCTATTAATTTCTATTCTAATTCATATATAATTACATGTCAAAATTTTATAAGAGAAGAGTGTATTAGGATTTCAACTCCAACTATTGTTCTCCCTTTTCAATTCTTGACCTATATTCTTTAGTTTGATTTATTTATAAATTGACAACCAATAATTATTTAGTTATCTCTCCTGAGGTAAGTTAAAACATATTTTTAAACACAACCCGAAATATCCATATTTTGAATTCAAAATTCTTAAAAGCGCATTCATTATACGATTACCTATTTTGAATGCATGTCATAAACTATTATTCTTAGTCTTTATTGAGCTTACGGATGATGAATTACAACCAAAGATATGAATATTCATCACCTTAAAAATAAAATTGCAAGAGGAAGAAGTTGAATCAATTTCGCTTCTTTGAAGTCCTAATCTTCAATTGATTTCAGATTATTTTCTTGAATTTGATCTTCAATTCCAAGCTTGGATCTTCAAACTCTTGATGTTGATTGCCTTTAATCACTTTCTAACCTTGTTCTCCACATTCTTGAATGAATGATCCCAAAATTAGAGGCTCGAATTAGGTTAAATCATTTATCAACTTGCTTTCCAAAACTTAGATGAAAACAGAGAAGAAGTAGATTTTTTTCTCGAATTTTGTACCATGCGATTGCATGGCACATCATGTTGCTCTCACACGGTAACATGGTTTTGCTCCATGCTTCTTCAAACATTACTCTCCAACTTGATCTTCCAATTTGAGTCAAGTTGACCCCCATTCGCTAAAATATGTATGAAACTCATCATTTTAGCTCATTTTAATTCATTTTCTCCAAAAGCTTGTCCAACATTGAGTTTACCTATACAACCAATTTTTACATGAGATTAAGCAATAATTCCCTTAAAGTAATCCCAAATATCCATATTTAAGGGCATAAGAAGTGTATATCAGATTGGATATTCTGAATATTATTCATTCAATATTTAAGTAATTCCGAATATTGTTCATTCAATATTTAAGTACATCTCTCTATGAATTTTTACTAATTAATATTGTTTACTATCCAGACATCTTATGCCAACCAATTGAGCCAATACAACCACGCCAGGGCAATTATGTAGCACAATACAAGATGATTTAGATTACTCCATCACAAGCCTACCTTGTTTAATGTAGCAAATTTAGTGTTATTCTCTGTGTGTTAAGATCCTTGATTAGGAAATGGATTGAATTCTATGTACTGGAAAGGCATTTCCATTTCTCTATTTTTTATTTTCTTTTCCTTTTTGTTTGCTTTCCTCGGAGCCTGTGCATGCTTTTCTTTTCTCTTTGGAGAGATCCCCCCCCCCCCCCCCCCCCCCAAACAGCCGTCATTACTGATTTCAAATAGATCACAGAAAAGAAGAAAGAAATCCCATTTTTTGTTTCCTGAGATGGTAAAAAAAACTGATGTAAGGTACCTGAAATAATTAAGAATTAAACTTAATCACTTCTCTTATATACTATCAATTGATATTTGGAAGTCAAAATTTTTTATATTGGGATTAACGTTCAACTTTATAACTTGACGATACTCAGTTTCTTGAGCAATATGGTGAAATGAGCATGCTGGACATAAAAGGGGCAGAAGCAGCTAAAGTCATTCTTGTCATTGGAATCATGACCCTTCATTCTTTTGGGGAGGGCTCTGGTGTGGGAGTATCCTTTGCTGGATCTAAGGGTTTATCTAAGGGGATTTTAGTAACTTTGGCCATTGCTGTGCATAATATACCTGAGGGCTTGGCTGTTAGTATGGTGCTTGCATCAAGAGGGGTCTCTCCACAAAATGCTATGTTATGGAGTGTGATTACATCACTGCCACAGGTAATTTGTTTTGCTCAAGGTTGTGGCTGAATAAATGCCAACCAAATTGTTCGATACAGTAAAACTTGCTAAAATGTAACAGTTTAGACATGCCTACAAAGTTGGTTTTCCCCAAATAGTGACAAAGAGTAAATAATGCTTTGAATGCTGTTACCTCGAAATATACACAAATGAAATTGTGTATACTACAAAGATCTTTCTATAATTTAGAAACAATAAATTATGATGCAAAATATGATCAGGAAGCGTATTATTTAACTTATTTTATGCTCATGTAGCTATGATCATTTCATTAACAGAAAAGAGACATGCTCTTGCCTTAATAAACATGAAAACCAATCCGGAAATGTGAAGAAAATCCAATTCCACCCAATAGGTGAACCTTGAAGAGTGTGCCAAAATAATGGATAACTTCTGTACAGTTTAAGTGGGTATGTGACTTGAACGGTTGGCTTGTGAAATTGAGAATGTGTTTCAAATATATCATCCATTACTAATGAGCGGGTTATAATGGATTTTTGACCTCTGAATTAGACTACATGGGCATTTACCCTCGTAAGACTGTTAAATTAGCCCTTGATAGTATAGTGAACGTACATAATGAGAGAGCATAAACGACATGAGCATTTGATTCAGCTGATTGGTCTGAAAGCATGTTGATATCCTAGTTCTTTTTGTTTCCCTTGTTTTCTTTATATCTGTATGAATGTTTTAAGTTGATAAGTTGGCATTTGATATATTTTCTCGATGCAGCCTATTGTAGCAGTGCCATCATTTATATGTGCTGATGCATTCAACAAGTTCTTGCCATTTGCTACGGGATTTGCTGCCGGGTGCATGATTTGGATGGTTATTGCAGAGGTCCTTCCAGATGGATTCAAGGTAACTTGCTAAGTTCTCACCTATATTGGAAGGATAACCTCAAAAGTCAAAACCACAATGGCTATTAACCGATTGAGTTAATAAGCAAAGTAGAACCCAATTAAAAGCTAACATTGTCCTACTTTTCAAACTTTGTAAGTTTAGGTGTTCATATTACTTGTTTTATGCATATTTTTACTTGTATTAAGCTTGCAAGCTCTCCACCTTAGTGGAGTTCTCATCATCAACTTCTAATCCTAACTGCTTATGGGATAGATTGTTGTTATTTTCTCCAATGGCTAAAGCTCCAGGTTATTATCTGGTTTGACTTCATCATGGTTTTAGTGCAGTTGAGGAGATATTTTCTATAACTTTCCTTCCATAATGTTCTACTTCTGCACATGAGGCTATACCATCATCCATACATTTCTATTTTAGTAGGGAAAGAAAGTCACCTTTCTATCTAAAGTCTTATCTTAAACCAAAACAAAAAAGGCAACCAAAAAAAAAAAAAAAAAAAAAACATTCCCCCCCCCCCCCCCCCCCAAAATCACTATTTATAAATGTTTTTAAACCAAACGCGTTTTCTAATTTTTTGTTTTGAGAAACAGGTTTTCAGAATAACAAATCAAACACTTTTTCTGTAACCTTAAATAATCTCTCAATACCTAAAATGGAAAATGAATTTAAAATTGAAGATAGAAAACATAAATATTGATACACCTATCGAAAGGATCTATGTAAAAATAAATATATATAAAAATGAGATTGGTAGAAATGAACCTGAATTGAAACTGACAGTTTGGGTTTAGTTTTAGTAATTATAAGGATTTAAATGGTTATATTTATGAAACACTTGAAATATAATGGGTTATTTCGAGTATTGAAATCTTGGACTGATTCACCCAAGGCCCTAGATCTATGACAAACTAATCAAACAGAGATGAAAGCTCACCATAATGACCGAAGATTCTTGTGTGGAAAGGCCATCAAGGCTCAGTCTGAAGTAGCCTATTCTGTTTGTATGTTAACTAATTCAACATACTTATATTATTTTAATTATCGAGTTCATTCAAATAAAAATTTATCAAACAATGAATAAAATTTGAAAGTTGTTACGTCAAACTCATACATGACCAGTCCTCTTCACATAACATGAGCTATTGAATCCACATAAAATCATTCAAAGGTCAATTGCTTCTTGCATTAAGCAGCAAAAACCTCTGGGTTATATTTCTCATATTAATTTTTCATTCTCATAAGCCCCATAAAACAGTAAATTATATACATAGGTTCGACGTGGGTGAAATAAGTTACCAATTATGTATGTATAGTTGTTGTACTGGCAGTTCTGTCATGGTTTGCTGTGATAGTGGCTGTCTGGCAGAACTTTCAAGGTCTGAGCTTTTTCTGGGTCTGCACCCCGAAATTATTACCTCGAAATTATCCCAAAAGTCATAAATCCCAGTAATAATTTCCCTTCTTGTTTCCTTGCAATTTTCAGTTTTCCATTTTTATTACCCACCCATATTTGATTTTTACCCTCTTTGCCTGTCCTTTTTCCCAATATTGATTAGTGTTCAGTGTTTATAAAGGGGAAAAAAGAAAAAATTGGTGTAACAAACATTGAAGAAATGGGTGATTCAGTCGGCACTGGTACAGTGCCACCTCTCCCGCCGCCACTGCCCAAGTCGCCGCCGCAGTACCCAGATTTGTATGGTTTTTCAGTTTTATACTAAAATTACTTTACATTGCAGTCCAGAGGATGCTTCTGGCTTCTTTGTTTCACTACTTTTTGGTCTGGGACCATTACTGGGTGGAATTGCTCTTGTTGCATTAGCTTTTGCTTTCCATCTTCAGCATGCCTTCCTCACTGGTGTGGCCTCTGGCATTGCCTTTGTTCTTGGTGCCTGGAGACCTCTGCAACTACTACTGTCTGCAAAGATGGGCCTTCTCCCCAACCTGATCCTTCTTGGACTTGGATCTGGATTCGTCCACATATCGACTTCCAGCGCTACGAAGCTTGGAACTCGCAAGAGGACTTCAGCAAATACTTTATCTGCTGTCACTGGCTACTCAGTTAGTGCACTCACTCTCTACTCAATCTTATCTTGTGTTGCAGTTGCCCTTCATGCTCTAGCTGAGGGACTAGCATTAGGAGTCGCTGCACCTAAAGCCTATGGGCTTGGACGCCACATTGTCCTTCCTGTCTCCCTCCATGGATTTCCTAGGGGTGCTGCTGTAGCTAGTTGCATATTTGGTGCAACTGACAGTTGGCACGGGTCCCTTTTATCTGCTGCGCTTATCGGGTTCGTGGGCCCATTATCTGCAATTGGAGCGATTTTGGCTGGGATTGACTACAGCGGTCTTGACCATGTGATGGTCTTTGCATGTGGGGGACTTTTCCCTTGTTTTGGAAGTATAATCAGGAGAGCAGTAAAGTTAGAAAAAAGGAAGAGCATTTTTGGGCTTGTCATTGGCTTAGTTTTTGCTATTTTGTGTCTGACTTGCACTAAGTTAGTATGTTTGCATACACCGTATTGCAACTCCGCTCCAGAGGCTGTTAGATGATGATACCATATGCTCGAGCTCACCAATACATCACCGAGATACAATTACATGTACGAACAGGAATTTTTGGGTTATGCATTCAGTGAAATTGGACAGTTGGAATCAGCAGATTCTAGTGGTGATTAGGATGACTGAAAGCTTATTGAGGCTCCATTGAAAGAGTCTATAATTGTACATTTAGATTTATTTAAGGTGCAGGTGTAATTTTAGACCATAAACCTTCTTTTGAACATTTCCTTTGATTTTGGTTTTCTATAAATTCTTAGGTTGGATCCTAGTCAGTTAATTCAAATCCATTTGAGGCTTTGAGCAATCTTTTAATTTTTGTTTTTATTTAAAATATCTTTTTTGGGGTTAAGATCTCTCATTTTGAAGGTCAAGATGGAAATGTCCAGGAATTTGGTTTGTGAAACATACTTTTTATTCACACATTTCGTAATGTTCAACTTATCATATTTAATACTCACATTGAGTAGGATTTGTAACCTGTAAGCACTACCAAACAAGCATTTAAGCAATAAGATGCAAAAGATGGTAAAAAAAAAATAAAAATACAGAGCATGTTTCGGAGGTGTTCATAAATAAGTTAAAATGAGTAGTGAAAAATGGTTGTGTTTGTGGATCTTATGATTATGAAATGTGTAGATAATAAACACTTCGGAAACATAGGCAGGGATGTGGCAGATGGTGTTTGGAATCTTTATATGGCTCATCATCAACAGTGTTTATAGGATTAGTTTACAGTTATCCAAAAAATTGCAGGCTGGATATAACCAAAATCCTTCACCTTGTACAGCTTTGTCATGCAAATGTTTGTAATTTGTATCGACTCTTAGGGCAGTCATCTTGAAAGGTCGAAAAGAAAAATAGTCCACACATTTATATATTAATTATTATTTTCATATTTAATCAATTTAGAACATCACTTGACATGCCCCACCATATAGTCTCTTTAAAAAAATAATAATAATAAAAAAAATACTACTCTTGAAATCCAAGTTGTCCGAGCTTTACCTTATCCGAATTTTTTGTCTGATATTTTTAAGCTCTAGTATGATATTAGAATAATTCTGGTTGTACAGGCCAGACACATGTCGAGGTGGGTGAGTGATTATTAAAAAAATAAAATAAGATTCACCCACCCCTACATGTATGAGTGGCCTGTACATGCATTGTGAAAAGTTAGCTCGGCTCATGATATTAAATGAAATAACATCTTAAAATTGTAAATCTTGTCAACTTGAATAGCTCATGTCCAATTCAATGTTGTGACTGGTTTCTATTTTTCTTTTGCCATCCGAAATTGTCCTCATTGTTTACTCATCAATAATCTATACGTATCAAGAAGAAAGCAAGGGAATATATTATATTTGACATAGAATATTCGTTTATTCTTCCTGGTGGTTTTTTTTTTTTAATTCGTATATTCTTATTGATCTTTTCCATGTTCATTATTTATACCATTACAATTACGTTATATTGACATCTTGGATGACAGGATGTCCACATGACAAAAGTTCATTGTATCGTTTAAAAAATAGTCAACAATACCATCCAATCATTTTTTTACACATCTCCCGTCATCAAAGATGTTAAAAATATCTAGCAACAACGCTTAATTCTATTAATGACTCTTAATGATCCTATTCCTTCATTATGACATAAATGAACCATCTCGCATTTCTCTACGTTGCCCGGTTCGTTAGGAAGGTAGACAATTACCACATAATAAGCAAGCAAGGTCGAATCTTTTAATGTAAAGAGTTCGTTTTCGCCAGACCCAAACTTCTCCCCTCTCTTCTATCTTAGTCGATTCCCTCTTCATCTCTAAGTCTTTGGCATGCTCGTCGGTGAAAACGTTTTTTGACTACAAATGCTAGGGACCCTTCTTTCGTTAGTATGTTTATGCTTCTGTTGAATCTGGATTGAATGAAGAATTCATTGCACGTCCTCTTGTAACTGTAAATAGGGAGTCTCTTTTATATTGTGAATGTAGAAAATATAATACAATTTCTTATATTTTCCCCACTCAAAATACATTAAGGGCTCGTTAGGCGTGACTGCTGAATAGTCAAAAGGAGATTTTTAATTTCAAAAGTTGCTTTTGGAACCGTTTGACTAATGTTATATAGTACGAATTTAGGTGGTCACATTTGATATATTCAATTAAATGAATCACGTGACATTGTATTTAAATGAATCTATCATTTAATGACATGCAATTACCCCTTAAACTAATATTTGACACCAATGATGTTGATTATCGTTACTTATTTATGACACTGTTTCTTCGAGTTAGAAGAGTTTTTAGAGGAAATTAGTACAATCACCAATGTGGCTTTCTTTCAAAATACTTTTGAAATAAGAAGTGTTTTTTAAAAATTAGTTTTCAAATAAAAAGTAAGATAACATTCTCCAAAAATTCTTCTACAAAAAGCTAAAATAAAAGTAAAAGTAATGCCACACTAGACAAAGTCATCTTTGAAATTTGGAAGAGGCCAGCGAAAAGGGGTGACGGTAGGGTTGAGCCAATGTGCATGGCTTAGATAATAAGGATTATGCTAGTCTGCCATGCAAAGACCTTGGCCAGACTATAAAATGGTGGACATTTTTTTTGTTCTTAAAAATGGGTGTGGGCCCCCTTTTTTGAGAAATAATCTAGTCAGGACATGTGCAAATGATCCTAATAGACTATCATTTTCGAGATAATAATCACAAAGAACAAATCTTCTTGGATAGGGCCACGTAATCCAAACAGGTCGCCGAATCGGCGCTCCCTCCAATCCCGGTACCGTCCAGCCCATCTCAATCTCATGGGGGGTGGGATCCATGGAGTAAATTGCGGGAAAACGCTGTGGTATTGGGTCCACACCCCACTCCCAACGCCCATTATCTACCCAATCCTCCCATATTCATTGGTCGCCATGGTCCCACATGTAAAAGTCAATTTGAATAACTTTGACACCAACATTCAAATGATTTTACATAATTTTTAAACATCTAACTAAACTAAGGTAGATTTAGCCCTTTGCTCCATTTTATTCAAAAATGTAAACCCCCCTCCTCTCCCCTCTCTTAATTACACGTTATTTAATAAAATAATATTACACCTAAATCAAATTTTTATTTAACCTATTCCAAAATAAATTCCCCCACGACCCACGAAACACATTTTAATGTAATACATTTTTCAATAAAATAATATTACACATAATCCCAATTTTTTTTCATATTTATAATCTTATTATTATCACATCTAGAGTATTTTCAAGAAACTCTCTATTTATAAAGAGTATCTTATGTTATAATAGAAAATATTCTTAAATTTAGAAAATAAATTTTTTTATACACTCCAACAAACTCTCTATTTTGACTATTTTTTTTATTTTTCTCTTGAACGTTTATTGGTTTCTCATTAAAGCTTATTTACCGTAATTTTTTTATATGTTAATGGGTAAAATCAATTTAAATGTGATTTGAATTATTTAAATGGTAGAGTATTAAAGTTGAAACTTATTAAATGCAATAATTGTTAATTAAGAATAAAGAGTGAGTTTGACTCTCTAAATTTGAAGATTTTCAAGCCACTTTTTATTTTAAAAAGTTAAAATTGATAGTTATTTGAAACTTATTTTTAAGTATCGACTCTCTAAAATAGGGAGTATCTTATATTTAGAGAATTATTTGAAAATACTCTTAAATCATTAATTAAACCAGATAAATACAAACGCGTAAAATCATTAATTCGCAAAGAATTGTACATAACGTTTCTCTCTTCTTTTATTATATATCCAACCATGCACAATTAGCTGGTGAAGTATTAATAAATCCAATAATTGCAGTAATAATATTCTGCAGACAGGTGCTTGTTGGGAGTGTTTTTAGGGGTCAAGAGGGGTAAATTAATATTTTTTATAATTAAAAATTTGAGAACATTAAAGAAGTAATAAATGTAATAATTTTCCCTGAAGCTTCATGTGGATATTAAATTTTGTTGTCCCAAACATGTTTATTCATTATTGAGCTTCCATAGTTAGAATGCAATTTTTTGTGCCGTTAATCAATGCATCAACTTCTCATATCAATTAACTAAAAGCTTGTTTGGCACATATTTTTTTCATGTAATTTTTTATTTTTTATTATTTATTTATTTATTTGGTGGAGAATGTGCAAATGAAAAGCGGGAAAAAATTGTAAACATTATAAAATGTGATTCAAAATAATTTTAAAAAAATCTTTACCAAACAAACATTATGGCCCCGTTTGGGAGGGATTTTGAGAATTGATTTTTTGATCGTTAGGAGAAAAATGAGGTTCACTTGTAAGAGAAGAAATCAAATATGATGGCTGGAATAGTGAAATAACGATCAAAAATCAAATTTTTAAGGAAAAAATTACTCCCAAACAGGCTCTAAATCGCATATATTTTTCTTCGAGAGAAGTTATTTCGTCCCAATAATGCTAAGCATTTTTTTTTTTCTTTTCTTTTCTTTTCTTCACTTGATTGTTAATCAATTATTTTTTGCCACCGTGTATTTCTACAATTAAGCCGCTATGTATATGTCTTTCTCTAGTGCTACTATAAATTTATAAATTACTGAAATAATAATACATGATAGAAATGAGTGGTATTATGAGTCCTACGAAATATATAATTAAAATTAATATTTAATTTTAGAAAAAAAAATATAAGTAACAGGTTTGGTTTTCAAGGTTGTAAACACATGTTTGGAAAGTCAAGAAAAGGGACAAAAGCATGTTCAAAATTTAAATTTCAAAGGGTGCATGGAAAGTAGGCACCTCTCTCATTCACTCTCTTGGAAATCAATAAAGCAAGCAATCAAAACTGAGTGTTAATTTCACAAAGGATCATTGAAATTAAAGTGAGATTTCAAATTAGTCAATAAAATATTTTAGTGACCTATTTAGTCACTAAAATTAAATAATATTACATAATTGGTCACTTCGGATTCGACGTCGGCCTGTTAATATCTTCAAAATACAACACTACTCTTAAGAAAAAACCTTATATTTAGCCCAAAAATCACAAATTGCTCTCTTTAATTCTAACCTTAATTTTCAGTAATAAAAATAGTAAAAATGTTATATCAAAGCTAAAACGGTCAACTAGAAGGAATCAATCACTTCAATGGTCTTCATCCAGCGTGACGGTTTAATATTTATTAAGCCGAACGTGGTGTTAATGCTACTAAGTGAACACTTATGTAAAATTATTTGACTTAAGTGACTAAATTGGTCACATAAATACTTATATGAAGAATTTGGAAATTAGCTTGAACTTGAGGACCATTAGTGAAATTAACGATTAAAAATGAATATTTATGGATTAAGGAGAGGTCACCTTTTAATTTAAAGAAGAAATAACTGTTTGAGACAAGCAGACAAATTATCCCCGTACTTGTTCCCATACTCTTGCCTCACAGCTTCATTTTTCACAGATACAGATTCACTCTTTACGCTGCATAAATGCAAATCACAGAAGCCTAAGTCCCTTCGTGTTAAACACCTTTTGACTCTCTCTGCGGCTTGTGCAGGCAAATTTACAATGAAGTTGTTTCTCTTAATTGCTCTTTGCTCTGTCTGTACAGTCTCTGCCCTTGCATCTGCTCCTCTGGAAGGTAAATCTTGAAACCCTTTTCCTTTTTGGAATACTTGCCATGAACATTTTCTGTTTCTTTGGGATTTCTAAGAAAGTTATTTTTGTCAAAATCTGTATCTTTTTGTTTTGCTATTTTTCTGTTCTCTTTGCCTTTTCATCACTTCAGTAATTTGGTTCCTACTGTGTGTATGTGTGAGAGAACGAGTTAAAAGTTGAAATCTTTTTGTTTGCACAATGAAATCACAGGAAGCGAAAGAAACTGACATGTTTTTCATTTTGCATTTATGTAATCTTTCTAAGGACTCCTCGCAAATGGCAACTTTGAAGAGGAACCAAAGCCCACTGGCATCAAGAAAACAGTGCTCCAAGGCAAAAATGCACTGCCCAAATGGGAAATCCATGGCTTAGTTGAGTACATTTCCGGCGGGCCACAACCCGGCGGAATGTACTTCGCCGTCCCTCACGGTGTCCACGCCGTGAGGCTCGGGAACGAGGCCTCAATTTCCCAAATAATCCCAGTCAAGAATGGGACATTATATGCACTCACATTCAGTGCATCAAGAACTTGTGCGCAAGATGAGGTGTTGAGGGTTTCTGTTCCTCCTCAATCAGGAGACCTCCCTCTACAGACTCTGTACAGCAGCAATGGTGGAGATACTTATGCCTGGGGATTCATAGCCCATTCTGTTTCTGTGAAGGTTATTTTTCACAATCCTGGAAAGCAAGAAGATCCTGCTTGTGGGCCTCTTTTGGATGCTGTTGCTATCAAAGAACTTTTCCCTCCAAAGCCCACTAAAGGTAATAGTCTCTCTATGTTCTTGTTGCTTTGGTCAATGGTTTGTTAGTCATTATTACATAATGGTTTGTTAGTCATTTATTGCATAAATGTTGTATCAACACACCTGAATCATGTTAACTGATGTTATTTTTGAAGCAATATGAAGCTGTTTTCAGGTATTTCCATGTAAAGTAGATTGGATCCCACAAATTCTGATATTTCACTGTCCACTCCGAAACAAAAACTGAAAGTTCGGTTTCTTTTTTTGCCGGATCTGTGCAGTAAAATCTTTTCTTGTCTAATGAGCATTTTTGGTTCTAAGAACATACTAAACAATACAATACATTACCCGGCAATTTTAATGTCTAGAGCATTCTTCCCCTGTTGCAGCAAACTTGGTCAAGAATAATGGTTTTGAGGAGGGTCCTCATCGCTTGTTCAACTCTTCCCATGGTGTCCTTCTGCCTCCCAAACAGGAAGATCTCACATCCCCACTTCCTGGCTGGATTATCGAATCACTCAAGGCTGTAAAATTCATTGACTCGAAGCATTTTAACGTCCCCTTTGGACATGCAGCAGTAGAACTTGTCGCAGGCAGAGAGAGCGCCATCGCCCAAATCATCAGGACAGTCCCCAACAAGGTCTATAATCTTTCGTTCACTGTAGGAGATGCAAAGAATGGTTGCCATGGATCAATGATGATTGAAGCATTTGCGGCTAAAGTTACCATGAAAGCACCCTTCAAGTCGGAAGGAAAGGGGAAGTTTGTGACATTCAGTTTCCAGTTCAAAGCAGAATCATCCAGGACCAGATTAACTTTCTTCAGCTCTTTTTATCACACCAGGATCAATGACTATGGAACTCTCTGTGGCCCTGTTCTTGATGAAGTTGTTGTATCTGCAGCTGCTAAGAGTTAATTTACACGCATCAAGGCATGAGGTGCTTGTGTTACTTGTAATTCTTGAAGTGAACGTTCATCATCTTCATTTGTAGTTTAGCCATTGATAAAGCACAAGCTGCAGCTCTGTAATCGCATAAAACTATGAAGTGTTGAATGATTTGGTACTTGTTTATGATCATGTCGATTATTATTTTCGCTCTAAATTATATATCGTGTTACAGAAAATAAGTTATAATTTCTACGTGGTCGAGTCAAGTCATTAAAGTTACCTGTTGGTCACAAGTAATTGATCGTATGGATAAAACCATATGTACCGAAGGGGAGGGGGGGGGGCGGGGGGTTGCCGAAGTGTGTCCCCCTCCCCGGCCCCAACAAACACCCAGGCTCGCGTGTATTTAATAATGTCGAGTCGTGGTCCCCACCTTGATGATGTGAGTGGGGTGTAAACGATTGTGTAAATGATTATGTACGTGTAACACGGCCCTTGATAGTATTCAACAAGAGTTGAACTGTTTGTACATCAAAAATGTACATTACTTCTAACATCCAAGTTGGCATGATGTGATTGGTGGAAAAACTGTTTTTTTTCCTTTTAGCTTTGCTTGGCGTGCATAGAGATGTTAACGAGCCAGGTCGAGTCGGCTCGCGAGCCGAAATTCAAGGCTCGGGCAAAATGATCAAATTCTTTCTTGGCTCGAGCCGTGCCAAGTTAAAGCTCGATCAAAAAAGCCTTTTCGAGCCAGGTAGGTTCGATTTTGGTTGTGGTTTTGATTTTTTTTCCTAATAAAAAGAGGCAGCAACCTGCTGCCTTAAAATAATAATAATAATAAATAAATAAATAAATATATATATATATATATATATTAATTTTTTTTATTTTTTTAAAACTATAGGCTCGTGAGCTTGAGCCGACGAACCACACGGGTTGACTCGAACTTTGCTCGGCACCTCAAAATAGGGCTCGACCCAAGTTGGGCGGGCTCAACCTTTTTCCAAGCTGAATTACAAGCGGCTCGAGTCTACGAACCCGATTACCATCCCTAAGTGTACATAATTTTTTGTACATTAATGTGTCCCCACACTCACATGGATGGGGGCTCATCGAATATTTTATTTGAGTAGGTCTCACTCCATGTGAGTGTATGAATATCTTAATGTACAACAAATTATGTACAAGTATGTTTATCCTTAATTATTTTAAATTGTCCAATATGTATTATCACGTGACACAATGTAAAAAATGATTATTACAGTCTATAATCAAGATTACATATTCAACAACAGTAAAAATGATACAGTGTTCATAAAATTATCTTGGGTTTGATCCCAGTGAAACAATATGTACCCTGTTTATTGATTGTCTTGCTCTTGACTAAAGCTTCTAAAAAATGTCCCAGGAGATATATTAGGAGTCTTTTTTCTCCAATCGAAATACATACTTCTACTCTTCAATGGCCCTCGTCTAAAATACCCACCAAACATTTCTCCAACATAAATTCTGCATTTACCCAAGCATGGTACTTATCTGAATAAAGATTTAAGGAATGCAACTGCCAGGAGCCAAAATATTTAAATAATTTAAGCTCTATGAATCACAAAAAACTTTAAAATTCTAATACAAGGATACTGAATAATGCTGTGCAGTCTTTTCCAACTGCCTTCATCAGCATATCGACACCTGACATAGAAATTGCAAGAAAATCTATAGTCATAAACATATATAATGGATAGAAGCGAAAACATCAAATTGATGCAGAAAGCCTTCGAGAAATATGGATCTTCACATGCTACAATTACAAGACTTGGAAAATGCAAGTGAAGAACAAGCAAAATGATATTAGATAAGGCTTTAAATGGAACATAATTAAAAACTTGGGCACTATACTCATCTTAACTCCTGAAATCAAAGATTAAAATATACAGTGTTGACAATTAACATCAAAACAATGCAGACGAAATTCATGTTAAAAATGTAAATTGGCTTTGAAATTTTACTGCATATCCAATTAATTGTCTAAATACCATAAATGTGGAGCTATTTGTACCAGCAGCACTTCGTTGAGTGAAAATCTATTTGGAAAAGGTTAGGAAATAGGTGGTTGGTTATTCATGTTGGATAAATTGCAAAAGCATGAAGTTGAAAAGAAGAAAGCAAAGTGTTTGTAAGAAACTAATAACTTTGATGTCAGAGAAAAAAACATCTTTTCTCCAGGTTTACATAATTAGGAAAAACTTGTGCATTCATCATATAAATGAAGATGTCATGAAAACATACAAAAAGAAAGCGTGTATAAGCCATTCTCTGACTAAAAGGTTCACATTAAAGCCAAATTGTGTCTTCTGACATTTTGATTCCATTTTATCTTAATTTTTCCATTGATTTTTAGCATGTCTTCCACAGACAGTAGAAGCAAATTCATCAGAAGACCAAAATTCCAATTAGATGACAACAATAACATCTTTAGGAGTATAAATTGAAAATAATGTTAAAATGCAATAGGCACAGATTGGAGTGTGAATGGTCTCTCCTTTTACAAATAGAAGTAAAAGAATTTTGGAGAAACCACTGATATTGTCTCTATGACGAGAAGTTCTATACATTTTGTTGAGGCACACCTTAATGAAATATTGGAAAAGGCTAGCAATGGTGTACTCAAAGTACGATGTTGCACATTGCCCGGAGGTGTCTAAAAGTAATCATGGCTTCTCATTCTCTAAGGTGGGGAAATGAATTAGTCCAGGATTATTGAATCAGGAACTTGAAAATATGGACACAAGAGACTCTGTAACTCCTGGATATCATGCATAGGAAGGGAAGACAACATGGATTGCATACAAGAGATTTCAAAGACATGATGCAAACTTTGACACAGGTAAAGGAACAGAGTAGGAATTGGGTAGGAATAACATTTGATTATGGTTTAAAAGATAGGGTGCCAAAAATTAAAGGGGTCATATGACACAGTTACATTAGTAAGACTTCTTTTAGCAGAAAATAAATATCTCTTTACTGCACAAATAGGTTTAGATAAGGCAAAGGCACAAAATTAAAGGTTTTGGGAAAAACGACAGTTTGATTAAAACGGTCTCTAGTGGAGACGATCTTTCTTGGAGGAGATCTGAATGATCATCAAGAAAAGATAGCTTAAAATATAAAGGTTTATGTATGATATTGATAGTGAGGATCACGATGAAGGTAATACTACTTTGGACTTCAAGATATCTTATGATTTGGTGTCGTTGACCACATGCTTCAGAAGGACAGACACTCACCTAATAACTTCTAGAAATAGATAAATGTAGAGTAAAATAGATTTTGTACTTACTAGAGAGGGAGATGTATCATTATGAAAAAATTAAAAGACAATTCTTGGAGAGACCAGCTGCTCAATATAAGTTGGAAGTGCATTTTGTTACCTCAAGGTTTTTAGTCAAGTTATTTAGATGAAATGCATGGAATATTCTTTTAGTCCTATGATAAACAAGGATGACAGGGAAGTCACTTAACTGAAATGATCTGTTCTAGATATTTAGAATCGATCACTAATAAGAATGTTTTGAAGAGAATTTAATATATCTGTTTTAATACGTACACATTTTCCAAAATAGTATCTGCTTAGATGCAGAAACAACTCAAAATAAATAAAAAATTTCCACAACAGAAAAAGTTTAGTCAAGCAACAGAGTTCAAGGTTGAAAGGTTACATGATTTCTCACTGCTTCCATATGTGGTAGAGTTTGCAATTATTTAAAAGAGAGAGAGAGAGAGAGAGAGAGATAATAGACGACAAAATCGAACATATAAAACAAATTCAGCATACCTCCTGGATGAAATTTCATGTACGGGGCTATATTATAGACACGTCCTTTAAGAACAGTCCACATGGAACCTTCAGATTGATTCTGTTTCACTTCATTCAAAGATACAAGTCTCTTATTTGATTGTCCCTTTAATCCTGAAACAAGTAATATGGGACTGAAACAAGTTAGATATGCAATGTGGAGAATATAATAGCCGATATAGTACATCACAACTACAATCAATAGTTTTCTACAACAATTATGATTCGTATTATCTAGTAGTTTATCTTCTCAAATATGTTTATCCATTTAGTTTTCTTGTATAGTTATGATACGACTTTTATATTTTATTTGATTAGAATTATAGTTTCAGATAGTTTCAATTCCTAATACTATTAGAAGTAGGGAATAATTTTGTCTATAAATATTGAACTATTGTACACTTTTTCATATCAATTATTATTCAATCAATACAAATGAAGTTATTCCTTATTTCAATTCTTATTACAAGAGTTATTAACTCTTTTGCACCAAATTGGTATCAGAGCAAGGAAATCACCTTAGACCAATGGCCAACAAAGGTATTTGTGGCAATTGAACTATTGATGACAAATGGAAGCTCGACAAACTGAAACAACGAATCGAGGGGATTTATAAAGCTCTTCGTAAACTCATGCAGAAGATGACTGTCTTAACTATGAAGAGCAAACATGGGAAGAAACAATCAGAACGAGAAGATTGGCAAAAAGAAGACCCAAATTCCGATGAGGATGGAGATACTGAACTAGATGTGACTAAGGAGGACATTAACCAAAGCACTAGCCCATCGCTCAAGAACAACGGTGACAGCATGTGGGTCCAGAGCTCGAGGGTCAAGCTGTGAGGCGCACATTATGATTTTCACGAGCCCGTTCAATTACAGGTCTACAAAAGGAAGAACAGAGGGCTTCTGGATGGCGGCCTAGCGAATTCAACCTTTGGAAAACAACTCTGCTATTAGAGAAGAGAAATCACTTTTTACCAACATATCGAGCCTAAAATTCTTTGAACAATTAAAAGAGCAGCGTATTATATTAGCATTAGTTGTTAAAGGTCAATTAGAAGCAACTACGTAGATCCCCGCCAAAGTTCCAAAGGTACCTACTGATTTTGCTAAGATAGCACTTAATGAGTTACCAAACGAGTTTTCCCCAGTACGAAACATTCAACATCATATTGATTTGGCACCTGGAGCTTGTTTAGATAACTCGCCACATTATCGCATAAGCCTAGTTGAACATGAAGAGTTATAGCGGCAGGTTAATGAGTTACTTAATAAAGGGTTCATCAGTGAGAGTATGAGCCCTTGTGCAGTTCTCGCTTTACTCACTCCAAAGAAGAACGATAGTTGGTGAATATGTATAGATGCCGTACTATTAATAAAATGACAATCAAGTATTGTTTTCCCATCCTGCATCTCAATGATATGCTCTACAGGTGTTTACCAAACTTGATTTAAGGAGTGACTTTCATCAGATCCGTATTCGACTTGGTGATGAGTGGAAAACAACTTTCAAAATCAAAGATGGTCTCTATGAGTGGTTAGTGATGCCATTTGGGCTATCAAGCGCACCAAGCACATTCATGCAATTAATGAACCAAGTTTTTAGTCTATTTGTGGGAAAATTTGTGGTGGTTTATTTTGTTGATATTCCTATCCACAGCAAGAATGAAGATGAGCACTTATCACATCTTACTGAAGTTTTCTCAGCATTGCGAGATAATAAATTGCATATCAATCTCAAAATGTGCAGCTTTATGACAAACCAACTTTTATTTCTTGGTTTTATGGTGGGAAAGATGGTATCCAGGTTGATGAGGTAAAGGTGAAATCAATACGTGAATGGCCAACTCCTAAAACCATGCGAGAAGTACAAAGCTTTCATGGATTAGCAACTTTTTATAGGTGTTTCGATTGAGGATTTAGTACAATCATGGCACCTATTACCGATTGCTTAAAAAAGGCAAATTTTAGTGCAGCAAAGCACAGAAAATAGTTTTGTGATAATAAAAATCAAGTTATACACTACACCAGTGTTGGCACTGCCTGGCTTTGAAGTTGAGTGTGATGCTTCAGTTATGGGAATTGGTGCCGTATGATAAGAACCTGACTGATATGGCTGCTATTTTGTGGAACATGGCTGTTTTTCCTAATGATTTGCTAGAATCGGTTTGTCAACGGAGAATAACTTGTTGCTACTGCAGTAACTTTTATGATCTATCTGTTGCTGCTGTGCTACTGCTTTGGTATTCCCCACGGAATTGCTGATCAATAGACTAATTAGGTATTAGATGTAGTAACTGGAATGTATAAAAAATTGAAAAAGTGAATTTGGTGAAATGGATATATGTATTGAATTGCAAATTGTAAAACAATTGTTTATGGTATGATGAACTGAACAACGGAAATGAATGACAATTCCAAGGCATTCAAGAGGCGTGGAGCTCTCCTAATTGGCTCAACCAACTACTCAATTTTTGCTTCCCATTCTACTCTGTCTCCTATTACATTTATACTACTACTTCTTTCCTTATTCCCCGAACTACCCCTGATAACTAATTGGAATTGGAATACTCTAGAATATGGCATAATAAACTTGAATGAATAACTTGGAGGGTCTATCACAGTATTATCTTAAGAAGGCCGTATAGTTGAATTTTTTAGTGAAAGGGTTAGTGAATCTCGACAAAAGTGGACTACTGAGTTAGAATTTTATGCCATTATTCGAGCCTTAAATTATTGAGAACATTACTTGGTTCAACGAGAATTTGTGCTATTTATGGATCATCAAACTTTGAATTTTATTAATTCTCAAAAAATAATTAAATGAATGCACGCTTGGTGGATCACCTTTTTGCATAAATTCAATTTTGTTATAAAACACAAATCTGGCCAACAGAATAAAGTAGCAGACGCTTTAAGTCGACTTGCATCTCTTTTACTACAATTAGCACAGTAGTTGTGTTTGATTGTTTAAAAAAACTATATGCAATTGATGCGGATTTTGGTGATATATGGACTTGATGTAGTGATAAGGAATTATACCCGATTACCTCCTTCAGGAAGGATTCTTGTTTAAAGGAATGCAAATATGAATTCCTCGTTCTTCTTTATGTGAGCACTTGATTCGAAAGTTGCATGCAGGCGGATTTGGAGGACATGTTGGTCAGGACAAGACAATCAGCTTGATTGAAGAGAGATTTTACTGACCCCAACTTAAAAGAGACATGGGCTGTTTTGTTCGGCGTTGTCCAATATGTTAGAAAGTTAAGGGCCAAGCTCAAAAGACTAGACTTTATGCTCCTTTGCCTGTTGTAGAAACAATATGGCAAGATCTCACTATAGATTTTGTTCTCAGCCTTCCACGAACTCAATGGGGAGTTGATTTTGTTTTGGTCGTGATTGATCAATTTTTGAAGATGGCTCACTTTTTTCTTTGTAAAAAAACTGTAGATGCTTCTTAAGTGGCTAATCAATTTTTTCGCAATATCGTTCGCCTACATAGCATTTCTCGTTCTATAACTTCTGATAAAGATATAAAGTTTCTAAGACACTTTGGAGAACACCGTGGAGAATATTTGACACTTCTATAAAGTTTAGTAGCACAAATCATCTCTAGAAAGATGGATAAACAGAAGTGGCTAATCGAACTTTTGGCGATATAATTCGAGCAGTTAGTCGAGATAAATTTAGACAGTGGGATGCTGCCCTCCTACAGTTTGAGTTTTCTTTTAATACTATGCAAATCGATCCACCAAGAAGACGTCATTTGAAGTCGTTTATACTAATGTTCCAAGGCATACAATAGATTTGATTCGGCTCCCTAATGTCATTTCTAATGCAGAAAAGTTTTCTGAATGTACTCAAAGAATTGATCACGAGGTAAAACAAAATTTAGAAGATGCTAATGTTTCATTACAAGGTTGCCACAGACCAACATCAATGCCTTAAAACTGTTCGACAAAGGTGATTTGGTGATGATCCATCTCACTTACAATAAGCTGAAAGATAAATAGATTTTTCCTTTTCACATTCTTTAAAAGATTGGCGATAATGCTTACAAAGTTGACCTTCTAGCTGATATGAACATTTCTAACACTTATAATGTTGTAGATATCTTCGAGTACTTACCTTCGGATGAATTTTCCCTATAGATGCAAAACTCGAGTTTTTATTCAAGTGGATGGGATTGATTTAGTTAATTTCCTACTACAATTATGATTCACATTATCTAATAATTATTATCTATTTAGTTTTCTTGTATTGTTGCGATAGGACTTTTATCTTTTATTAGAATAGGATTATAGTTTCAGATAGTTTTAATTTCTTAGTACTATTAAAAGCAGGGAATAATTTTACCAATAATTATAGAAGTATTGTAAACTTTTTCATACCATCAATTATTATTCAATCAATATAAAGCAAGTTATTCCTTATTTCAATTCTTACTACAAGAATTATTAATGCTTCCGCACCAATAGCCTTTTTAGTTGACAAAAAATAATTTGTCCATTCATTTGAAGCAACCATAATCTAACATGTTGAGTTGGTCTGGTGTTACATTTAAGCCAGATCTGATCCCATAAACACAAATTAGTTGCAAAAGGACACATAATACTACAATAATAATAAATAAAAACAGACACTCAGTAAGACCCCAATTTTTCTTGTGCACTCATATAGAGGATCAAAGATTTTAAACAGGAAGCAATATAATGCTCCTGATCAATCACAATGCCTCTGCATATGCCAAAGGTTCTGATAGTGCAAAACACATAAAAAGAAATGCCCTAAGAAAACCATGCCTGAGGTGAAGAGATAAAGAACTAGTGTTAGGAAATCGAAGAGTAGCATCACAGAGAAGTAAAGAATTTTCATCCCCGACTCCAACCCCCTTTCTTTCTTGCTTCCAGACCTGATTTTTTTGTTTCAAGATGTGCACCCATATCTTTGGGTGTGCAAACTATGATGGGCGAGCTTTGCAGCTTTCTCCCTCCAGGGTTTGGGATTGATGGGCAACTGGCTATTTTACAAACTATGTGAGAAAATTCTGTCTCAGATGCTTATTACAAGAAAATATTAAGTAGATGGAAAGAAAAATATCAAACAAAAATATTGAAATGCCAAAAGAATGGCTAAAATTGAGGGTCATTCAGGCAGCCAAAAAAGTACATAATAGTTTGAACATTGCCCTGTCAAGAGAGTATTCTTCTTACAACACAACAAATTAAGAACCAAATTTGGAAATCAATCTTCACATAGGAGCGCTTAGTTTCCTCACTGTTGGATGGCTTTGTAAAATAAGTCAATATTCTAAAGCTAAATATATTTCCAGTAAATGGAAAATACCTGCTAGGTCTGGATGCATTCTGGTAAGCTTAAGCCAGTCCATCTGGCTGTGCCCCTTCTCGAAAGGAACCTTGGCTCGCTGCACTGGCTTCTTTGAAGGAGTCTTCTGTGCCTGAGAAGCCTTAATTGAACCTCCAGGGACTTCATTTGTCGCAGGTTTGGGAGGTTCATTTACTTCAATTTTAGGTGATGCATCAATAACATTAAAAGACAACGAACCAACAGTTCCCTTCTTCTGAGAAACAGTATTATCTTTCCATATACTACCACTTTTCTGACTACTACTTCCATCTGCAGCTTTCACACTGTCATCATTTATCTGAATCCCGCTAACATCCAGAGCAACATCATTGGTTTCAATACTATCGTCAATGGCGGGAACCCCAACCTAATTACATTGACTAGACTTCATCATCCCACAGAAACACATTTTTTCTTTTTTAACTATCAAACCATAACGCAGCCTAGTATTGTACTAGAAACTAGTCTGTCCAGAGAAATCCACGAATATGTACATGCAGATACTTTGAAAGTTGAAAAATGAAACCAGTTCATGAATAAGAACTTACTCGACAAAAGGTGAAATCATCATCATCAGCCATACTGATCTCACTGAAAAGAAAATCTACTAAATACCCCTGTTCAAACATTTGATCATCAAATAAAGAATTGCAAGAGAATAGATTATTAAAACATTGGTTTCAACTAATTCCATTCAAAATATCTAATTCTAGAATGACATTGCAGGATGAAATATCATGTCTATTTGTTGATGAGCTTCAACATTAAACACAACTAAAGCAAGCCTTATAAACGAAAAATTAAGACCAAAATTTCTTAATAACTCGTTGGAATAATAACTATTTCAAAGATTCTTTTAGTTTGTTTTACCTAAAACACAATCTTTTATTTTTTACCAATTGCCTATTTCTGAATGTTATCTGGGATCATAGGAAAAATCTGAAGGATTCGATCTTTGACATTTATTAAAGAAAAAACAGCAATTTTATACTCTGTATACAAGAACGTATGATCTTTGCCTTATTTGGCTTAAAACAGTGAAAATGAGAACAGTACAAAAAATTATATAAACAGAAAAACCGCGCATAACAGCTTTACTTGAGAGAGAGAGAGAGAGAGAGGCGTACTCGGTTGAAATTGATCTTTGGTAGCTGTATTTTCTGGTCTCGCAGATGAAAGGGGAGCTCTTTATTCCACAATCTTTATTCAGAAAAGAAAATTTTCATGTCTTGTGGCTTCATCATGGGAGTTGGGCTACTATGTATACTGGGTCAGATTCTGGGCTTCAAGCCGAAATAGAGGTCGCAATTGGCCGAGTCAACTAACATCGGGTTGCAGCCAACCAAGGTCAGTTCGGCCCACTAGGTGTGTGAGGCTCGAGCAATTGCTCCAGACGGTTTGATTAAGGAGGAATTAGTGGTAGATGGCCGGTCGCCAACAATGGCCTTTGACCATGTAAAAAATATAAAAAGGTAAAAAAATGTTTGAAATTTGGAAAACCCAAAAATGCCCTACAATAGAAGAGAGAAAAGAGAAGAAAAATTGAAAAAAAAAGAAAAAAGTAAAAAAAGGCACTGATTTTGAAAATTTGCTGACCCACGTCGACAATCCGAACCCGGACCCACATCGATCATTATCGGAGATTGTCATTTTTTAAGAAGGTTAGCTTTGTTCCACTTTTTAATTAACTTATCAATTGAATAAATCAAGTATTTTTGTGTCACGTTCTACATCAAGATATTTTCATATAGTTAACGAGCACTAAGCATAATATTTAAGTAGAGTCATGATTTTTAAGGGCGAAAATCGTGAGTGATACTGACATTCCCGGCTAACCCGATCACCATATTATCCCAACGACCAATTTTATATGAATTTGCAATTCCACATATGGAGTACTCGAGCACATACTCACCCTGGGATATTATGCTCGAGCACTTCCTGTCTTGCTGCTTTAACATGCTACGATACTTGTCCTCGAGCATAAATAGTCCTCGAGTATATGCTCTCCTCATAACCTACGATTGTTGACCCTTTAGAATTCCTATGCAATTAGAAATCTAACTCAACCATATACTTGACTCCCGCAAGGATTATATCCCACACATAATTATGGTATTTGCCCAACTCCTTAACTGTACAGGACTCCAACAGATAAGGATATCCAGCTAGTTAAGTCACACTGGGAGAATGTTACTTACTACTATAAATACATAACTTTGAGCCATTATTCAAGTACGTTCTCATTATTTCTCCAGTTTACAGCTCACGCATATAATTCCCTTTCCGACTTAAGCATCAAAGGGGCGACGAGAACATACCTCGTTGCCTTTGTTTCATGTACTGGAAGACTATGATCGTACTCAATCAAAATCACCAAGCTCGGGAAATCAACAGGTACGACTTTTGGTAGCATCATTGGTGCCATCTGTGAGAAATGCTACCAAAAGCCATGGTTAACACACGATCAGGTCTTCCCCATGCAAGCTCATCCGCTCCCATCCCTCAACCTGCCGAAGATCAACCGGCTCCTCATGAAGAATCTTCAGGAATGCCCGCACCTCTGCCAGCGGTCATCACAATCAAAGCCTTTGAAGAGTTCTGTCAGCAGGTGGGCACGCTCACGCAACTGTTAAGTAAAAAAAATTCGCATCTGTCGCCGGCGCAGGCAGAGCATGGCGGTTTTATGGTTGATGCACGACCTCCAAACCCCGCAACTGGCGGAGTAGGAACCTCGGGTATTAACAATATGGCCTCAGACTCGATATTTGTCGCCATGAATTCTGGTGAAATTGCTCGGATCATTCAAGAAGGAATTACAGCTGGCCAGCAACGAAATGCTCGGGGTCCAATGGGTTTCACTCCTAACACTCCATTCACACCAGAGATATTGTCATATCCCTTGCCCGACAGACTCAAATATCCTCGCATTAAAGAGTATGATGGGACGATCGACCCCATCAACCACCTCAATGTATATACTGATGTCATGAACTTGCAAGTTGCGCCGGATCAGGTTATGTGTAAAGCCTTTCCACAAATGTTGACTAATGCTGCTAGGGATTGGTTCTCGACATTGGAGCCCAACTCCATAGCCTTATTCTCAGATTTTGCTGATAACTTCTCAACCTTTTTTGCGAGTAGTAAGCGAATCAGGAAAATCGCCACCTCCCTCATGCAACTACGCCAAGGACTGAATGAAACCCTACGAGGTTTTATAACAAGATTTAACAAGGAGAGACTTCAAATACCTGACATTCACATTACAGCAGCAGTTTCTGCCCTCACCTATGCCATAGGGTGTGAGGCCTTCAAAATGTCTTTATCAAAGACCCCACCACAGACAGTGACCATGCTCCTTAACCGAGCTAAAAAGTACATCAATATGGAGAAAACGCTGAATCCAAGGAGAGCTGGTCATCCTCATGAAAAGGTCGAAAACAAGAGGCAACATGATCTCGTCCCCTTGCATGAGCTTCCTCGGGATAAACGCAGGAATGAGGCGTCGTCAACACCTCTCACTTGGTTGAACATCTCTAAAGCAAACATCTTAATGGAGATTAATGATATGAAAGAATTGAAGTGGCCTTCAAGGATAAAGTCGCCCTCTGACACAAGAGATAGAAGCAAGTATTGCGAATTTCACTGGGATCATGGGCATACCACAGAGGATTGTCAAGCTTTGCAGCGGGAATCGAAGTTCTCATTAAAAGAGGATTCTTAAGGAATTACATTGGTCATGATAAACGTTCGAGGAATGATCGTGACAATCGTAAAGAGTCCGGAATCGGAAGCAGTGCTCAACCCACTGCCAGGACAATTAATATTATCGTCGAGGGTATAGCATTTGGAGGAGACACGAATAGTGGGCGAAAGCAGTATGCCCGTCAACATGCTCATACCCCAAAGGAATCCCGTGATGAAGTCAAAGACATCACTTTTGGGGCAAGAGATTTGGAAGGAATATCATATCCTCATGACGATGCCTTGGTCGTCTCTGCGGTTGTGGCTAACTTTAAAGTAAAGAGGATACTGGTTGATAATGGGAGTGCAGCAAATATATTCTCGCAGGAAGCTTTCGCCAAAATGGGGATCTCTCTCAAACAGTTCAAAGCAATAAAAACTCCTCTACAAGGATTTGGTGGTGGAGTCATTATCCCTGAAGACATCGTCGAGCTCCCGCTTACATTAGGATCTGGTAATACACAAGTGATGGAGATCACACCATTCCAAGTGGTTAATACCCCAATGGCCTACAACATCATCCTAGGAAGACCCCTACTGAACAAGATCCAGGCTATTGTATAAACTTTCCACCTTGCCATGAAGTTCCCCACAGGTCATGGCATCGGAGTAGTTCGAGGAGACCAAACAGCTGCCAGACAGTGCTATGTTACTAGCATCCGAGGAATGAATACAGACGTCATGCAACTTTCAGACCTCGAGCTCGAGCTCGAGCTAAGGGGTAGATTGGTCCCCGTTGAGGGATTGGAAGTGGTCAAGCTCGAGCACGGAAAAGCAGTAACTATTGGTCGGGATCTCAAGGCCAACCTCCAGGAGGAAGTCGTCAATTGTCTGTCCCGCAACATTGATGTTTTTGCATGGAAGGTGGAGGATATGCCAGGGATAGACCCGAAAGTAGCTGTCTATAAACTCAATATCAGCCCAGGGGCCAAACTTGTTAAGCAAAGGAAGAGACAATTTGCACCGAAAAGACGTGTAGTCATTCAGGAAGAGGTCGGCGAATTGGTAAGAACGGGGTTCATAAGGGAAGTCCAATACCCTGATTGGCTCGCTAAGGTTGTTCTTGTGAAAAATGCCAGTGGTAAATGGAGGGTCTGCATTGACTTCACATATCTCAATAAAGCGTGCCTAAAAGACAGCTACCCACTACCCAGGATTGACAATCTTGTGGATAACACATCCAGACATAAGTTGTACAGCTTCTTAGATGCATTCTCAGGATATCATCAGATCCTTATGACCGAAAAAGATCAAGAGAAGACTTCATTCATGGCTGATTCAGCCATATATTGCTATAGGGTGATGCAATTTGGGTTGAAAAATGCTGGGGCGACATATTAGAGGCTCATCAACAAAGTCTTCGCCGATTTGATAGGAAAGAACATCGAGGCCTATGTGGATGACATGTTTGTAAAGAGTAAGAAAGTAGAGCAACACATATTCGACATAGAAGAGGTGTTCATCACCCTACGAAAATGTAAGATGAAGCACAACCCAGAGAAGTGTGTATTCGGCGGAGCTTCAGGAAAGTTTCTAGGTTTCATGATCACTCATCGGAAGATTGAGGCCAACCTCGATAAGATTCAGGCTTTGGCAGCAATGGAATCACTAAGGACCAAGAAAGAAGTTCAAAAGTTGACAGGCAGGGTAACCGCCTTAAACAGGTTCATGTCCCGAGCAGCAGACAGGTGTTTTCCCTTCTTCAAAGCTTTCAGGGGTAATCATTGCTTTGAATGGAATGAAGAGTGTGAGAAGGCTTTTCAAGAGCTCAAGCAGACATTGGAATCTCCTCCTATCTTCACCAAACCCAAGCCCGAGGATACTCTGTATTTATACTTAGCCGTATCTCAGAATGCAGTGAGTGGTGTCTTGGTGAAAGAGGTTAACAAGGCCTTACAACCTATTTATTACGTGAGCAAAATCCTACTTGATGCAGAAACAAGGTACACTTTGGCAGAACAACTTGCCCTTGCACTGATAGTGGCAGCACAAAAGCTTCGACAATATTTTCAGTCACATTCTATTGTAGTGCTCACCAATCAGCCTCTAAAACACATTCTTCAGAAACCAGACGTCTCAAGAAGATTCCCTTCTTCAAAGCTTTCAGGGGTAATCATTGCTTTGAATGGAATGAAGAGTGTGAGAAGGCTTTTCAAGAGCTCAAGCAGACATTGGAATCTCCTCCTATCTTCACCAAACCCAAGCCCGGGGATACTCTGTATTTATACTTAGCCGTATCTCAGAATGCAGTGAGTGGTGTCTTGGTGAAAGAGGTTAACAAGGCCTTACAACCTATTTATTACGTGAGCAAAATCCTACTTGATGCAGAAACAAGGTACACTTTGGCAGAACAACTTGCCCTTGCACTGATAGTGGCAGCACAAAAGCTTCGACAATATTTTCAGTCACATTCTATTGTAGTGCTCACCAATCAGCCTCTAAAACACATTCTTCAGAAACCAGACGTCTCAAGAAGATTACTGAGGTGGGCAATTGAACTTAGAGAATTTGACATAGAGTTCAAGCCCTGTTCATCTATCAAAGCTCAGGCCTTAGCCGACTTCATTACAGATTTTCGTAGATGGAGCATCAAACTCGTCGGGCTCGAGTGTAGGGGTCATAATCATAAGCCCGAACAAGCTCATAGACATTCAGTGTGCACTCCGATTTGAATTTGAGGCAACCAATAATGAAGCAGAATATGAGGCCGTCATCACTGAGTAAACACATAAAGATTGTTATCAGGGCAAACAGTACAAGTAAAATTCCTGAGCACACAGTGCCCGATCAACGATGTAATGAATCTTAAAAAAAGGCCCATCCTGTCCTCGGGAATCACGCTATAGGTCAGGACAATTGCATTTAGGCCTCGAGATAATTTCCCAATTAAGGGATGACCCTAAGAGCAAGTTACTTCTATGGATTAACTCATCGAGATGTCAATTCATCTTAGGCATCGAGTTATTAATTTATCTATGGCGTCGAGATATCAATTCATCTTGGGCGTCGAGATATCAATTCATCTTAGGCGTCGAGTTATTAATTTATCTATGACGTCGAGATATCAATTCATCTTAGGCGTCCAGATTAATATTTAGACGTCAAGTTATTACTCGTCTTAGGCGTCGTGCTATTTATTTCATCTTAAGGGTCGACTTATTTATTACTCGTCTTAAACGTCGAGCTATTTAAATTTGTCCTGATCCTCAAGTTGCCCAAGATGTCAGCCATACACGCCATACCTTGAAAAAACATCGATAAATGGAACATTAAATAAGATCGAGCAAAATACTTGTTTAAAATACAAAAACAGGTGTCTCATGATCAAAATCAATAATTAAGAAGTCTAATCCTTGCTATTCTAGCTGGGCTGATCTTCCTTGACGTCGTCACCCTCGATGTCGACCTCTTCATCATCAACATTCTCCTCAGACTTCGAGAAGGTGAGGTCCTCAGCCACCTGTGGGATAATCTTCAAGTCCTCGGGCATTGCGTCTGGCTTCGCGCGGATGAATGCTCGAGCCTCTTTCAGGGCATGAAAGTACGAGTCCATTGCATATTCGCCCTTGAGCTCATTAAAGACGTCAGGCTTCTTAAACTCCTCGACTGAGTCAGCCCGAGCTTGAACCAACCTCCCTTCATAATTCCTATGAATATTTTCAAGCTCCAGCTTCACCTCCTCAGCCTCATCCTTCATGGCAACAACTTCTTCTCGAGCTTTCATGAGCTCACTATTTACCTGCTCACGCTCTCTCAGCAGCTGAGCGCGCTCGGCCTCAAGATCGAAAATTCTTCTATCACGAGCCACTAGGGAGTCCTCGAGGTCAGCCAATTTGGAGGACTCATTTTCCCCTTCAAAGACAGACCTCGAGCGATGCTTATCATCTGAAAAAAATGGATGAACGAAAGTTTATTAAAAGCTCGATTAAAAAAGATGAAAAAGTACCTAAACAAATAATTTTGGATTACATGATCGACGTACCTTCAGCGTCATGGCCTCGAGGGCCCTCATGCCATCATCAAAGCCAATACTTCCTTGGTACTGGTCAACAATGCTCGACAAAAATTGGCATCGGGTTTGGTCTTCTAAAGGGACAGAGCATGTTGGCAGAGCCTCATCCTCGAGATCAACCACTTCCATAGGACCTCGAGGATGAGGAACGCTCCGAGGTGTACCCTTAGGAGTTAGGCGCTCAACCCTCTCCCGTTCTATGGCCGGGGATTTCCCCCTTTACTGTGACATTTCGCCAGGGCCACTTCTTTGTCTCTCGAGCCTTGAATCTCGAGCTCTCTTTTGTACCCTCTTCTGGCCGGGAGCCCGAGCTTGGGGAACCTTGGACTTCTTTCTAACCGCAGGACGTAGGGCAGTAGGGTCAAACATCTTTTCTACAGAATTATCCAACATTAGCACGAGCACGAGCATTAATAAATATAGGTAGAATAATGAAAACATTGAAAGTCAATATCCTACCCTCGACGCCTTTCACATTCGCGAGATCGAGGATGTCATCCCCGAAGACGTCATCTATATCATACACCAAAGGCTCGAGATTTCCTAACATCGGCCTATCTCTCTCTAAGGACTCAAAATAGGCTTGACCCTTACAAAACCTCGCAGTATCTGGTAACACCCACTGAGGACTAAAAGGTAGGTTGGGATCTTGAGTCACGACGTAAAACCATTTTTCCTTCCATCTTTTTAACGAACTAGGCATCCTCGGGTTCCTAAACATTCATTGGGATGAAAGGTACAAAACACGTGAATTGGGGAAGTTGTTTCAAGTCAAACACCATCCTGCATAAGTCTAGGTATGGGGTAATTCCTAGGTACATACAAGCTACAAAAAAATAGGTCAACATCCTCCACCCATTCGGAACTAACTGCCCGGGGCTCATATTATGCTCGGTTAACAGGGTGACAAAGAATGGGTGCACGGGCCACCTAAACCCCCTTCAAAGAATCTCTGAAAATCACGAACTCTTTGTCCCGAGCTAGAGCCATTTTATCCCCATCCTCGGGATGCCTAATATCACAACCCGGCATAAGGCCATATTCCCTAGCCGTCGATATCGCTAAGTGTTCCTTAAACCTACAGGGTTGATCTGGGAATCTAAGTGACATCAGATTATCCTGAGCTCGAAGCTGAGCACTAATAGGTACTACCATCGCCACTATGGACTGTCCTAAGTCCTCGGGTGTAGACCTAGACCTCGAAGACGATGTATCTCCTTCACTACTCGACATACTATTCCAAGCTAAGACCTTTCTAAATAAACAACTTAAGTTCTTGAGCTCTTACCTGATACCGACGGTTGCGAGAAAAATTTACTGAAAGTGAAAAAGTAAAAAATGAATAGCGAAAGGCGTATTTATAGGAGGCCTGAGTGGGAGCCCAAAAGTTGCTTGCACAACCGTCCGATCACGCCACGTGTCTACCATCCAAGGCTCAACCCTTCCACCACCTTACTCGTTTAGGGCTAATGTCATCACCACGTCAGCTTTGTTTACCTGTCTTCAAAACCCCGAGCATTTGCACATCAGTCGCCTTTGAGCCTCTTTGCAT